TGTATACAAAACACTACCTCCCAATATAAGGGTGGACAAATCAGTGGATGTGATGATGAATAGCTACCTAGGTTTGTGACCTCTTGAGGTGACAATATATGGTCTCAATCATAGTTTTTTTTTCCTTTTTTGTTTTTTTTTTAAACATTTATGTGAACTTAGACACACTTTTTTCCCCATTTCAAATACACTTAGATAAAGGCATGTGATGGCAGGGATTCAGATGAAGGATAACTTGGGAAGTAAGATGCGTTTAAGACAAATTAACCTGCAGTGTAATTCTTAATGCATCCTGGGGCTTTCTTACCAAGTTTATCTGAAACTCTGTCTTGCAGTGATTTTTTGTAATTGAGAATTGGAATGGCAGTGGTGAAGGATTACAGGAGGATTAAAAAGGGCAGCCTCATATTTAGTATTTTTTTTATGCTTCTCTCCTAATCTAGACTTTTTTTCCTATGAATTTGTGACACTGGCTAGTGAAAACTTTAGCACAAATTCATGCCATGTTCCAATATACGCAATAATCATATTTAAAGTATGTGAAACAACTCAATCCCCCTTTTTTAAAATTTAGGTTTGATACTGGACATTAGGGCTTTATTCACTTAAGTATGTCATTTACAAACATATTCCGGTTAATACTGCTAATTTCACCACTACAGATTCTCAAATACTGTGTAACATCATTAATATAAGACACTGTGCTTGTGCAGTATACTTTGCATGTATATGACTGAGAATGCTTTGTATGTATGTATGTATGTTTGTGTGTGTGTGTATAAAACTTCATAAGTACTATTCATCCTGTGTTGAAATAAATACTTAAGCTATATTAAAGTGGTAAAGTTTTACTTGATCTTTTTAAATGGCTCCCATAAGCATATATGATGTATCTGAAAGGTACAGTTGCATGGTCAATAAAATTGATACTATATAGTCAGTAAGAGGTGGAGATTTGTGTCTGTATATACAATATGTTTAATACATACATGTACAGACAACATCAGATTTCACTGATCAAGCATGCTTATGGTGGATTTATATAAGACAAATGTTTTCTTCAGGCCCTTTATATCTCTAGCAAGAGCACAGATATAAGCCTCACAGCATTTCTATATTCACACTTGTGCACTCTTAAACTGCTTTTTTTTTTTTCCAGTTGATCTAAAAGCTACTGGAATGACTAGCTTACACTGTGGATATTTGCTAAATTTGGTTGCAGTACCACTACTAAAAACCACTTTAATATAGTATGCACATGTACTTTTCATATTTAATGATGAAAAAAACTTACCTTTATGTGTTCACTTTTTGTTCTAGGTTTTTCTTTGGACTCTGGCAAAGGTATTGTGTCTCAGGAGGAGATAACTTTTGTGTCTGGTGCACCACGAGCCAACCACAGTGGGGCAGTTGTTTTGCTAAGAAGAGATCCTAGTATTCAGAGAGCGCTTTCACTTGTGCATATATTTGAAGGAGAAGGGCTAGCTTCTTCGTTTGGCTATGATGTTGCAGTTGTGGATCTCAATAAGGATGGGTGAGGCTTTTTTTTCCCTACTAAGTTCTGATTTTTGCATTGCTATGGTGTCTTCTGGGTAAAATAGCTGCCTAAATTTGTGCTCTGTGGGGGAGTGGTTGGTACAGGAGGGAGCGTGTTTTAATTAGTGGTTTCCAGACAGCTACTCTAATTAAAATGGCTTACTGTCACATTTATTAAGCCTCTAGGTGTTTTAAAATGGCCTTAAGACACTTTATCTAAAGGTCATTCGATGAAGTTTAGATATGGCCCTTGCAGTCGTTATAAAACATGTGAGAGCTTAATACGTGGCAGTGCTTAAGCTTAAGCATTCTAATTAGAAAGTGGAGCAAGCTCTATTAATCGAGTTTTCTCCAATGTGTTCTAATCAGAATGCAAATGACATGTGTATAGGCAGCCAATGTGTTTTTAAAAAAGTGACTTGAAGATGCTGAAAAAAAGGGAAGGTGTATATTGTTTTTTTCTCCTTTATGCTATGTAAAGAAGACTTGCTGAGTTTAGTTTATTTTGTTTTTGGGGTGTTTTTCCTGCTTGGTTTTGACCCTAGGAATACTAGGAATGGCAAGTTCCATGTTCTCCAGCTTTGTGGAGGACTTGCTGAGGATCTTGGAGTAGACTGGGGAAGCTTTCCTTGTTAACTGGAGGGTGTTAGACTTTTTTCCCCTACTAATCACTTATGGGCAACTAAGTTTAGAAAATTAATAAAGCACAAAAAAGCAGGAAATTTTTTTGATAAATAAACACTCTTGAGCATTCATTATATATCAAAGAAGGGGGAAAAATCTGAAACTGATCTGTCACTTTAATGAATGCCCTTAGGTTCATTCTTATTACTGTACCCATTTAATGTACTTTTTAACAACCTTTGCTACCTCTTTGTCAGACCAACTCACTTTAAAGACTATGGGCTTAATATAATTTAAATTGATGGGCATTTCCAGTTACTTTTTCATAGGTCTTTTAAAATTGTTGCATTTTATTTTAAGTTGGCAAGATATTGTTGTTGGAGCCCCACAATACTTCGAGAGAGATGAAGATATTGGTGGTGCTGTGTACGTCTACATTAATCAGAACGGCAATTGGGAAGGCGTGAAGCCAGTTCGCCTTAATGGAACTACTGATTCTATGTTTGGTCTTGCTGTTGAAAATATTGGTGATGTTAATCAGGATGGATTCCCAGGTGAGAAAGCAGGCCTTGAAATAAGTGTATGCCCATTTTTGCTTAAAACTAGTCTCTGAGCAGCTCATGCTATCATGGATGTAACCATTCAAAGGTTCTTCTGAATACCATAATTTCTTTTCAACAGATATTGCAGTAGGGGCACCCTATGATGGTTCAGGCAAGGTGTATATATACCATGGATCTAAGAATGGAATAAATACAAAAGCAACACAGGTAATTAAGATCATGTGCTCAACCTTGAATTGGAGTTAGGCATAAGAAGTTACCCTGGCATGTTAGGACTACAAATATCTACTTCCCTCCCACTTCTACCAGTGAAAAAGGGGTATATAAGAAAGCCCTTTGGGGTTGTACGAAGGGTATGTTGGCAGAGAAGATCAGGAGTGGTTCATTTTAATACTGAGCCCTTCTACTGAGGAAATTGGTGTAGAGTTCATTATTATTGATCGGAAGTGGGGAAGGGGCCACTGGATACATAAGCTCTATTTCATAAGGGATCTGCTAATACCAAAGAGCCATTGATTAGAGCCCGGACATCTTTTTTACTTTAGTAAAAGTTTCTCTCCTTTGAGGTGTCTTACCTAAATGAAGTAGTCTCAGAATTCCTCGATACTTTTAGTTTTTGAGTATGAAACATTTGATATATCCTTTTTAAGATTCTTAAATGCTTCATTCTTGACAATCTGTTTGTTTTTAGATTCTTGATGGTGAAAAAAATAACATTCAATTCTTTGGTTATTCTATTGCTGGAAATATGGATCTTGATAGAAATTCCTATCCTGATATTGCTGTTGGGTCACTTTCAGATTCTGTATCTGTTTACAGGTAGGTATTTTACTAAATCTATGTTGATTTTATTTTTTAACACTCTGCTTTGAAGAGACCAGTGTATTTGCTCAGGTTTGTAATGCATATTTTAATCCTGAGGTTCAAAACTCTGTTTTGGTAAAGGGCTGAACTTGGCCCCCTTCATACCAAGATGTAAACAGATTGGCAGTGAATGAGAGAGTCGGTGAATCCACGACCACAAATCTGTCATCTCTTAATTGAAGCATTTGAACTCATTTACTTTATACAGCTCCTTGCTGTAATGTAATGGCAGATGTAGACTGTACAAGTTTTGCTAGCATCTCATCTGTGCCAACCACTTCGGTTTCTCCTTTAAGGAACCCTACAGGTGGGCCGAATAACCCACTTCTTGGTTGTCTTGTCTCTTAATTAGGCCCAATTTCTCATATGCTAATTTTGTTAGTTTGACCCCATTCTAAGTTTGTTCAGTACTTATAATTTTGATCTAACCCTTGGGTAGCATTAACAGACCTGTTTTGTTTGGATTAATTTGGTTCTAGTCTGTCTTTTCCTATTGTAAAAGCTTCTGTTATCTCAAGTGTTATAACAATCAGTGTTATGTTACAAACTTTTTTCCACTGTCCTTTGAGCTGACAGCTGGGTAGGCCTGTATCACAATATACTGACTTGGGCCTCTAGGTACTGCCATAGTGCAAATAACAATAATTTATTTCCCCTGCAGTCTTTCAGCTGAGTGCCATAGGTGTGGGGCATATGCTGCCCATAGGTTGCAGTAGTGGGGCTAAGGGAACTAATTTGGCCTCTTACGGCTATGTCAAGCCTGTATTTTAGCTACTAATGCTTTGTGTTGAACACAGGCTTTGACCATGAGAAGATCTGGTGTTAATGTAGTTCCTCTCAACATACAGCATCACTGACAATAAGCAGGAAGAGGAGGATTTGATCGGGACCATGAACCCATTTCAAATTCAGAGTTGTGGTGCTTATCTTCAGGGCTCTCCATGGTTAGGGTTCAGCATAGCTAAATGGGCGTCAAAAGCTCCAAGATGAAGGCCATGCTTGACAACTCTTTTCCTTGGGCATAGTGAAACTTTACCATAAAGGTAAAGCTCATCTCTATAGGAGATGGAGCTTTCTTGGAGGCCAGTCTGAGACTGGAAAAACTCCCATGGGAACTAAAGAGAAATCTTCCCCTCCAGAAAAACTTTAAAAAACAGAACACTCCACTGCACATGCAGTTCTTCCTCTGAGAGGATGGGAGAATAAACCACACATGACAGATTGTCATATGGTTTCATGGTGTGCTAAAAGGTGCTTAATATTATGCTGATGAAGGTGGCACAGAAGTCTATATAAGCCAGAAGGTAAACACGAGAATATTTAAGTTGCTGTGGTGTAAAAGATGTGAGCCCGTGGAAGCCTCCCATTACAAAAAGGAGTACTCCATTACAATAAGGAGTACTTAAGTCCACTTTTAGGACAAATTTACCAGCATTGGTATTGCTAGAGTCGATAGGAAAAACCCTATTCTTATATTTAATTAAAAAAAAGAAAAAAATATGCTAATATGACTTTTATGGCTGTAATGCTATACAAGTAGTGGTCATACAGTGGAAAAACAAGTTTTCCACAGCAAACATAACTTTGCCTACTTTGCACATTAAACATGATGTACATTAATCTAAATGATTTCTGGTACCTACTGTTTCCTCATTGGAGCTGAATTACAATTGCTTTTGAGAATCTTTGCTTTGAATTTCCTGACTCCTGTGAATATAAAATGTGATAACCTGGACTTTTTATCTGAACAATAGTAGTCACTTCATCTTTGTTTTTTGTTTTTTTTTGGTCAGGCTTGTTTATCTTGTTTAGAACATGTTTTGTTTCTAACCATACTGAACATCAAACGCAGTAATATTTTTCAGGGCAATGTGATTTTTTTTTTTTTTTTTTTTTTCAGGGTAATGTGATATAGGGTATTCAGTGTCTTCACAGTAAATCTGCAAGAGCATAAAAGGCTTTTATAAATTGAATGAGTAACATGACTTATTTTATTAATTGTAACTCTTTTTATCTCTTCCCTTCATCCCTTCAATGCTACCCAAAATAAGGTCTCGGCCTGTTATAAGCATTAAGAAAACAGTTAAGATATTGCCTGACAAAATTGACTTAAACAGAAAAACCTGCCGTGAACCAAGTGGAATCTGGTAAGGTGTTTAATTTATTTAATTCTGAGGCTGGGCATAATGAGTGCATATTATTTTGTTTCTTAGGCTTCACAGAAAAAAACAAAAACTTATCAGACTAGTTCCCATGTTATGAGCACATAACTAACTATCAATTATAATGTATGTTTGAGTCCCGATATGGACTCTCAGAAGAATCTTTGGATTGTGTCCACTAGGCTGAAGTGCTGCGACAAATGAGAATTTTATATTTTTATCACCACATTCAATCATTGGCTTTTGTTCTTGAGTGCAAGGACAGGGAAATGGATTTAATTGATTGTTGCCCGTGTATCTTTATTCTTTGTTGTGCAACTTTTTACAACTTAGAATTCCTTGCTTTACTTCAGAGCTTTCTTCTGACTGAAAAAATATTGCTTGCACAGTGTACACTTTTAACAAGATCTAAAAGGCTAAGGTTGGGTAAGCAATGGAAAGGAATAGAAGGTTTCTTCAAAGACGCATTTCACAGTAGTAAATTTCAACTGTACTCTCTCTTCATTGCTCATAGATTGTAAATGGATGTCTCATTGGACACGAGCCTGACTGTTGCAGGGTTTGACCCGGATCAAAACAGGTGTAGCGAGCACATTGTGGCAAAGTGGGAACTCCCTGACCAGCCACAGTGCTAGTCTCCTACCTGCGTCTCACGCCTGCCACACCTTGTTGTTTAATGATTATGGTTTTAATTAGGCGGGAAGCTGCCCATTGAATGCCCTCTTATCTTGAGCCTATGTATACAGCTCTAACCACCCCTACCTGGACTTAGGTGACCGCAGTCAAGCTTGGCCCCACTATCCGCTCTCCAGGGCCTTGCACCCCACATGGGCTCAAGTGCCATACCAGGGCGTGCCTGGCCCTCTACTGTCTCTGATGATAAATAACCCACCCGAAGGTGTGGGCTGGGTTAAGGTGCCCCTCCTTGCCTTTCACCGGGGAGGTAGCTGGCCTGGCATTTCCTGGGGGCTCTGACACCACAAAGAGCCCCACCAGGCTGCACTTCCCCAGCAGGGTGCAGTTTTAGGTCATGCCCAGGGCCAGGAGGCCTTCTCCTTCCCTGTAGCCTCTCCCTGACCTCCAAGTTTGTTCTTGGAGCAGCAGCTCCTTCATGAGGTCTTGCTTCCCTCAGCACCAGGCAGCAACTGCTGCCCCCAGCCCTGCTGGCCTGAGACTTAAGATGGCTGCTTGTCAGGCCTGAGCTGCACCTGTTTGCTGCTTGGCCCAGTTCTGAAAGCGGCAGAGCACCAGGAGTGCTTTGACACATGCCTTCCCCCTTAAAATGGTTGCTGGGGGCGTGTTTCCCCTGCTGCTCAGCCAACAAGCTCCCGCCCAGAGCTTGCAACTTCCCTAAGTGGCGAGCACCCCACTGGTGCTCTACCACACACATGCACAGCCCTTCCAAGCTGCATTGCTGCTGCTTCTCTATCAGTAGGTGGTCAGCAAGAGCACACAGCCTGGCTGGCTTGTCCTGGAATGCCCCATGGTAATCTTATAAACGCACACAGCTGCATCCTAGGTAAAAGCTTAAGCACATAGTTCAGAGGGAATTGAAGCAGGAAACTGGACTTGCATGTCTGTTGGATCCTGGGACAAAAGGTGTTCTCCTGGGACCAATGCGAGGTCTATTTTCAGCCTTACACTTGAGCTTCTGAAGAATAAGAATGAGTAGGGTGCTAGGTAGGGCACATGTCAATTGCTCTCCCTCCGTTTAGTATAATTTTTTCTTCCCTGTCCTTGTCCATGCTTCGGAGCTCTGCTTATGCTGGCAAAACCCCCAGTGAGGGTGCAGCTTTGTATAGTGCAGCTGATGTCACTCTGGTGGCAGAAAACCTACAGGCAACCCCTGCTTAACACCGTTTCATTTAGTGCTATTTAGCTACAACGCTTATTTTAAATTGATACCTGATTTCACTTAGCGCTCAACGAGTTTCACTATAATGCTTGTGGTCACCATCTTGGGTGATTAAAAACAATTGCGGTAGCCATCTTTGGTCATCAAATACTTTCGGTTTCACTTAATGCTTATTTTGCTTAATGCTCAGTTTTTCAGGAACCAATTAAGAGCATTAAGCGGGGGTTGCCTGAACTTCTACTGACAGAGCAGTACTTATGCTAGGGGGCCTAGCTGAAATGCTGCTGCCAGAATTAGTGGCAGCAGCCCCTGTACCATTTATTAAATGCAACATATTTGCTTGTTTGAGAGTGCTTTAGATGGCTTTTTCATTACCTGGCAGATCCTCTCTGGAAGCAGATGTAATAGGCTCTTTATATCTTAGCGATAAAAAGAAGAGTTTGAGTCTTTTCTTACTTATTCATCATAAATTATTGAGACTACGGGACCACTATAGGAAAGTAGAAGGCATGGAGGGTAGTATTAACATGGAATAACAGCCACAGTGAAATGTTAGGGTGATGTTATAGGTTACATTTAAACTATCATAAAGGCACTTAAAACAGGAGTATTTACCCATTAAAGGGTGTTAACTCATCCTAAAAATCGTCTAATGGTGGGGCTGTCTTCTAGCCATTCTACCCAGGTTGAGCTAAGGCATTGTTAGTCAGTTCCCTGGAGATCTAGTGATCAGTTTGCAGTCTTCCAGAATCCCACGATGCACAGCTTCCAGTCTACCCCTTCTCACCCTCTTGCGGCTCCAGGGTCTCACCACCTGGCAGCTCTGTGTGGAGCACAAAACCACTGTGGCTGAAGTGCAGTGGCCGAGCGAAGCATGTTTTTCTCCTCTCAGCCTGCCAGACTCCCCTGCCCTGACCTGATTCCAGCACCCAGCCTTCCCCAGAGAGGGCAGTGCCAGAGGGCTTATTGGAACAGGCTGGTGTGGGGCCATCTGGCTGGGCTTGGCTAGGGGGCTCCCCAAGGCCCAGTTCTCTACTGCTACCCACAATTCACTAATACAGGGGTTGTGACTTGTACACGGGTACGTGGAAAGATGCTAGGGGGTACGCGTAGGTGGGCAGGGATGGAGCACCACCACCCCGTGCCGCCGTCTCCCAGGAGAAGGGCTTGGGGGAAGGGCAGCACTTCCCCTCTGTGGGCTGCCAGGTGCCGCCCAGCCAGCTGGATGCAGGCTGCCATCCATCACCTGCCACTGCCATGTGCCAGCCACCGCCACCGGAAGGGGTACAGTCCTTTAAAAAAGATTGAAAACCCCTGCACTAACATATGAGACAGCCTTAATTTTTTTTTTTTTCATTTCTATGCACCATCCTCCCTTCTCCTCTCCCACCAGACTGGGAATGAATTGAGTTTGGCCACAGCACTGCTTGCTAGCCCTCTAGTGACAAGTCAGTTATGCAGGTCAGAGATGGCATTAAGCCTTAACCTGTGACTGCTCTGAAATTGTCCTAAGTTCATGTTGGCTCAAATGTTTTAAAGGTAACCTGTAATAGCACCCTCACATGGGCTTTTCACTAGAAATATGAAATTGGGCTTATCTTCCAATGGAACAGATAGTAAAACAGAAACTAATCTGATTGTACAGAAAGAAACTCCTTGACCAACATAACTTTGGGCAGTGACCCGTTATGCACTAGCTTCCTATAAGCTTCTGTACGAGCGACTAGAACTAATTTTCTAATTTAGGAATATAACAGCTAGAAATGACCAAGTCCAAGGAGTACTTTCTTTCCTTTACCTTCAGTAATTGAAACAAATGGCATAGCAAACAAATGCAAATAAACTTTCCTCCCCCACACCCAGTCATGTTTCATCTGGGGAGTTAAAAAAGGAGAGAAGACCATTTCTGGCAGATGTGATGTCACCTACCCACTTTTGGAAGGTTCTTGGAAACTGCTGTTTTTCTTTGTCATCTCACACGCTTGTGTCTTGCAGGGCATCCATCAGTTTCCACTATTTATTCCTCTTTTGTGCATATACTTTGAAAAGGAAGGCATTAGAAGAATACAGATACACTGGACTAGAAAAGTTCTGTAGTTTATATAAAGAAAATAATTCATTATTATTCCTTTGGTATTGGGGCTCAGACCTACCAGTTTACCTATAAGGCACTGTAATCATTACACCTGTGCTAACAGAATGCAGAATAGATGCAAGAGACTGCTGTGAGAGAAATGGCATTTTTTGTCCTCTCAACATGAATGCAAATGACTACACAAGGTTCATGGCAACAGAGAATCACTCCCATTTATTTTTAAACAGGCTCTCTGTACACATTGCAGATATCACACAATTAACTGGTTAATTGCACAGTTACCTTAAGACCAGCTACACATGCTATCATGACATAAAACTCCAACTGACTGTAACATTAGACCTTGAAAATGTGTTCTAACTTTATAGATGATTGTTACTGAGCTTTAATTTGTGCCCCCCCTTTGCCCCCCCAGCTGAGAGCTCTGTCAACTGCAGGGGTGCACCATGACCAGCCAAGGCTGGGAGTCCCGCAGCTGAAGGGAATCTTAGCCCCAGCATCTGCCGACTCCAGGTCCTGTGGGACTGTCTGGGTCCCCACGCTGCTGGGGCCAAAAGTCCCCTCAGTTGCTGGATTCCTGGCTGGGTATGGTACATCCTTGCAGTTGGGAAGCCCTGTCAACTGAGGGGGCTCCCAGCTGCAGGGGAGAGCCTGAAGAACCTACTACACATGTAACCTAAAGCTTGGTAGCAACTAGCTGGGTCCCAGCAGCCAGGGGGGTGCGGCTGCCCCAGGGGTGCATGAAACCCTTGGGCCTGGGGATCACAGCTGCCAGGCTTGAGGGTGCATGGGTTGCCTTTGCAGCTGTGAGCCCCTCAACTGAGGGGGCTTCGAGCTGTAGGAGTTCCCCTTGCACTGGCAATAAGGAGTGATGGGATCTAATGCATGATTGTGGATCTGGCATTAGATTCCATCACATCTTTACCTGCTTTCGTAGAGGGGGCCACAGTTGAACAAAATGTTCTCAGTATCTCAGTTGCTCAGGATCAGTCATTTGTTCTGTCATAATCCCATTAGTTCTCCTGAGGATTCCCACCGTAAAACAAGGGATACAACAGGATTTTTTTTTTTTTTTTTTTAAAGGAGAAGCACACTGCAAAGCATCCTATTTTTGAAAAGTACCCTTCTGGTTTTAAAATGCGTTTCAGAAGAGAAAAAGGCACTTCTTTCTTTTTGTAATGCCCTATTCAGGAAGAAATGAAATGCCAGTTCTCACATGAAAATGAATATGATTTAAAATTGATTAAACTGTTCAAAAACATTAAAACTTGTCAACCTGTTGGATCTTGCCTCACTGAAATTACATTCTTGACTTCTTACAGCCTGAGTGTTGAAGCATGTTTTGAATATACTGCTAACCCCCAAGATTTCAATCCAAAAATAAGTAAGTAGATAAAAATACTTCTAGTCTGCTTATTGTGAGAGTAAGTCTATTCAGTGCTATGGAAGAAACAAGCAGCTGTTTGCTGTCAGAAAAAGTTAACTGCAGAGGTAGCCATGTAAACTGTAGTAATCTGTGCTCACTGTTTGTTCTAGGTTTGAAGTGTAATTCAATACAGGGCACAGCTGGCTGTCACAGGAGCTCTGTAGAGAAGAGCTAACATACGTCTGAATGGCAGGTTTCTGTATAAACACAGTTGTGCTGTGTTACTAAATGGTGTGGCCACCAGCTGGATTTGACTAGTTAAAGAGTCTTTAAAAGCTCTGTGATTATTAGCCAACAACAGCTCCAGCAGAATCTGTGAATCAGTTCACACACCAGTACTTGGTGTCACTTTACAAAATACATAGTTTTTAAAAGCCTATTTCATGGAGTTGAAACAAAAAAACAAACAAACCTGTACATACACTTGTGTGTGTGTATACGCACGCGCACAATTACATTGCTTTTAAAAATCAAATCAAAGCCAATTCCAAATGTTTACAAGTGTCTGGGAAATGATGAGCAAAGAGAGAACTCCCCTCCCAAAACAACAAAAAAGCCTTGCGTGTGTGTGTATATGTATGTATGTGTATATGTATATACACAGAAGAAATATACAAGTAAGAGCCTGTAGTATAAGCTTTTACACTTATGGAAGTAGTTTAATGGCTGTGGGCACCCAGAGTAATCTTATTCATATAAGATTGGAATTTTTATTCCATAAGATTAAAGACTGTTTAAAATAGCAGTTTCAGATACCTTCTTTTACTTGTATATGGCTAAGATGCTGTAGTTTCTTTGTAATGGAAGGGGAGCATGTGTTAGCATGCATTTGGAGAGGGGAGGGAATGTTAAATGTATGGCCTTATAGCTAACATTGAATCCGATCTGAGCGCGTCTTCTTTGCACAAGTAGCCAAGTTCCCCAAACTGCTGCTTGAGTGCTAAGGCCCTGGTACTATAGCTGGGAAGATATTAATGATGCCGGTAAACTTGAACAGGGATTTTTTTGTAAAATCCTTTGAATGATAATGAGAGAAGGTGCTTTTGGATCCAAAATGTTCAAGGAAAGGGAAGGTGACCGCCAAATGAAAGAAGTATAATCCTGGCTGTTAAAAGGTTGCATCTAATAAGGCTTTGCAAACAAGGGAGTGTAGTCAGTATATTGTAGTATAAAACAATGTATGGCAGGACCATGGTTGAATATATTAACATTCTTAAGTTATCATACTTTCTATGTGTGAAGTATTTTTCCTTTTATTTAGAACTTAACTATACTTTTGAAGCAGAAAAGGATAGGAGGCGCTTAGGTCTACCTTCCAGAGTACAGTTTCCCAATCATCCATCTGATCAGCTTACTGGGAGTTTAAAACTACAAGGACAAAATACAAGGGAGTGTGTGAAAACGTCTCTTGTGCTCCAGGTAAGGTAACGGGCAGAGGATTTTGTCTCACTTTCTGCTACAGTTGAACACTTCTTTGTGGAGTAGAGTGGGGTGGGAGGGTGATGATGTATCATCCTACTGTTTGCATCATCTTATGGTTACTGAGAAGAGACAGTTGCTGCTATTTTTGCTTCCCACTTGGTCTTCTTCTGGATCATTACCAGTGAGAGAAGTAATTAGTAAGCCAATGAGAGCACTGGGGTGTTCAGATCCTTGTGTTAACATTTTTAAAAGAAAATGCATTGATTTAAGTCAATAAATACTTTGGACTTTCTGTTGTGTTTCTAAAAGGAAAGGCTCCACTCTACTTAGAATATGTTGCTTTGTTAGGAAAGCCAGTATCTTGGTTTTTATACTGTGTATTAAATATGCCATTTAAAATGTTTTAATAGGAAAATATCAAAGATAAACTACGTCCCATTCCGCTGTCAGTTGATGTTAAAATCAGTGGCTCAGACTCTGGCTCTCAATCCAGGAGAAGACAAGGAAGAGCACTTCCAGATCTTCTTCCAGTTCTAAATTCAAATGAACCAGAAACAGTGAATGCAGAAGTAAGTCTTTTATTGCATGTTCTGCTGGAGATCTGCTTAAACTTCACAATTGTGCAGGACGGAAAAATAAAGAGTTGGGTTATTTATATAACATATTGGTTCTAGCACATACCTTGACAGTTAATCCCTGAAATAAAAGCTGAGAAGAAACTGGCTGTGACCAAAGGTAAGAAACTGATATGGCAAATCACATAAATTAATTTTGTAATCTCAGCTGCTCTCTTACGTTGGCTGTTATCAGTCACTTAACTATGCAGAGTATTTTAAAATTTGCTTATGCACACTTCCTGTGACAGAACTGAAGATGACAGAAGTGGCTAATGCATTAGCTTTCTATTTCAGGAGACTTAAGTTGAAATGTAGTACTTGATTGTATTTGAACATTTAATTGAGTTGCCTTATCCTGATGCACGCTTGTCCCACAACATGGAATCACTCTGCAGTCTAATTTTTATTGAGTGCGGCAGTGTTAGAAAGCTTGCATCCCAATTTTAGCAAAGCACCACCCTGCAGTACTCTAGCCAGGACTACTTTGCCTGTTACATGAACCCAGTGACCTGCAAGATGCTGAGTACTGCATGTAACAGGCCAAGTACTATCTTGGAAGAAACCCCTTTTCACTGTGAAGGGGTAGGCCCCACATTGCCTATTTTTGTATTTTCACATGGCAGTTGGCAGCAAAAATTTAAATTACTAACCAAGTGCTAGTGTCCTTTTATCTCTGTAGTTAAGCAAGTCCAGGGGCTCTGAAGTGCCTATACATCTGACCTTAATCACAAACATGTCAGCAGCCTGATTTTAATATTGTTTTGTATGTTTGTATGTAGCTGATTCTGTGTTTTATGTATGTGCAGTTCTTAAAAGAAGGATGTGGAGAAGATAATATATGCAATAGCAATCTAAAACTTCAGTACAGATTCTGCACCAGAGAAGGAAATGAAGACAGATTTTCTTATTTACCAATGTAAGACTTGATTCTTGTATTGGTTATAATTTAAACTAAAGTAGCTGTGGGCAAGGGCTGAAAACATGAGCAAGGTAGTGGAGAATCTATTTTAAAAGAAGAAATTGAAGGGGTAGTTCGCTTAGTAAGACAAAGTCTAAGAGGGGAGTACCAAGCAGGGCAAAGAAATGAGCCAAAGGATGGTATTGGCGCACGAGCAAGGGTATAATAATGTGGCCATGAATAAAATATAGGCCTGAAATGAAGTGTTTTAACCATGAGACTAAGGAGGTTATGGAACAGTTTTCCAATAAAAGTATGATAAGTTTACAAACGCAATTACATGATTATATTGCCTACTATAATAGGAGACTTGACTGACTTGGGAGGTCTTTTCCAGGCTTTTATCCCCTGTCCTTGTGGGCAGGCCTTCAGTGCTTTCTTGGTGCTCTCTAGGCATTGCATTCTAACATGCTCTGATGACCTGCTATCATATCTCATTTCCTGGTTTAGCATATGAGGAGCACATGGGTAGGGTGTGTTTGAGAGTGGCATCCAGAGCAGTGGAAACAGTGTAGACATACCCTGCATCTGCAAAAATGACTGAACATGAACAGTTGTTTAGAAAGGATCAGATTTTTGTCTGTTCTTTTCTAATGCATGAGACTGAATTAATTTTATTTCTTTAGTGAGAACAGTGTCCCAGTGCTTGTCCTGAAAGATCAGAAAGATATTGCACTAGAAATAACGGTGACAAATAATCCATCAGATACAAAAAATCCCAAGAAAGATGGTGAAGATGCACACGAAGCTAAACTAACTGCAACTTTTCCAGACAGTTTGACTTACTCTACATTTAGAGAGCTGAGGGCTTATCCGGTAAGTATTCCAGAAAAGCAAGGAAAAAGATATATATGTATATTTAAATATTTATTAAAATATTTTGAATTGTAATGTCTTTCATTAACTCAGGAAAAACAGTTAACTTGTGGTGCCAATCAGAATGGTTCTCGGGCAGAGTGTGAACTTGGAAATCCTTTCAAAAGAAATTCCAATGTAAGTGGCATTTACCTTTCAAGTAGAGTTGGGGCCCATGCTTCAAAATTAAAATTCTGGCCCCAATCCTGAAGTTGAGGTTTGAGGAGGGGATTGGTTTGGAGCCCAGCTGTTTTATATATTTTTAGCGCTTATTGTATTTTTAACTTGACATAAACTTGCTCTAGAAAAATGTACTAATTTAAGTGCTTTACTGTACATTTTTATTTTTCTTGTTTAGGTAACCTTTTACCTGGTTTTGAGTACAACTAAAGTTAATGTTGACACAACTGACTTGGACATTACGTTAGAGTTAGAAACGTAAGGCTTTTTTTTGTTGTTTTGGGGGTTTTTTTGGTTATCTCTTTGCTTATTGTTTCCCAGACACTTGTAAACATTTGGAATGGGCTTTGATTTGATTTTTAAAAGCAATGTAATTGTAATGTGAAAACTGTTAAGATTTTAAAATAAACGGTGTTGTTTCCTTTTACATCGTAGAACAAGCAATCAAGTTAATTTGGCTCCAATTACTGCTACTGCTAAAGTGGTTATTCAGTTGCTTTTGTCAGTTACTGGGTAAGTGTTTATAGTTAATGAAACAAATCAATATGAGAACTGTTTGATTTATAACCCTCACTAAAATGTGGGTTTTTGTTTTTTAATTGAACAGAGTTGCGAAGCCTTCCCAGGTGTACTTTGGAGGTAACGTCATTGGTGAGAGTGCTATGAAATCTGAGGATGATATTGGAAATCTAATAGAATATGAGTTCAGAGTGAGTTGATCTTGATTATTAAGATGTTATGACTGTTCATCAGATAAGCAATCTACTGTGTTTCATACAGGTGAATATGTAAAATCCAGCTGATTTGAGGCTGGCTGTCCTTGGAATAGGATCTCTACCTTGGTTTAGAAATCCACAGCCTGATCAGTGCATAAAGAACTGGGCTTCCTTTGGCCCTGAAAATGTTAGGATTGCATTTCCCCAAAATGTCTTCCATTTGTTTGTGGGCAATGTTGAGTGTAGTCCCCTGTACATACTGTTTTCTACCAAAAATATCCAAGTGACAAAGTTTATATAAACCCCACAGATGACATACTCAGGTGTTTAGTACTCAAAGTGTTTGTGTAGGAGCTTATGTACACGAAGTGGAGCACGCAGCGACAGGACCTGTGTTGAAGCTGCTTTCAACACATGGTCGTTAGGAGCTCACACTGGTTTTATGCTTTTTAATTACTAAAGCATGGACTTCACATCCATGTTGTTCAAACAGTGAACACTTTGAGTGTTCTGGTGTTTGCAGTGTAAACATTTGCTCCTGTATTTTCATCCATTCAAACAGTCTTCTGTTCCACATTTGCTCAGTACAGCACCTTTCTTTTCCATTAAGAGCTGGCTGTTCTTCCACTAGAATTCTCTCTTGCCTTTCAAATGTCTACCCTGACAGGTAGTAGCATATGGGCTGTGTTACACATTCCACTTTTGAGCTGCTCAAATGTTGACCAGTTAGTGCTAGTTTGTGTGGAGCAGTCCCACCTTAAGGATAAAAATCTTGTCCGACTGTCCCTCACCTGCACAGTTGTGACTTGCCACTAAAAGGCTGGCAAGCGGGGCCTAACTAGGAGCTACAGAGAGGTGAGTTACCACTAGAGGGTTGGTGAGCCAGGACAGGCTTTTATCCCTACTCTAGGTGGTGGGGGGAGAGGCAGAGTGAGAGATGGGTTGCCTGGGGGTGAGAACATGAAGCTGGGAGGTGAAGCATTAATGGGATGTGGGTGGGTAATGAAAATGGAGGTGGAGAGGAAATGGGTGTAGGGGAAGGGTGGTGAAATGAAGAAAAATGGCCACTGAAGGAAAAATAAAAAGTGTAAAAAATTAAAAAAAAAAAAATAGAGGAAGCACATTAAAGAGGGTCTCATGTTGTAATAAATTGGGATTTGGGATTGGGGTGTTGGGGGGTGCTGATCATCCTTCCTGGGGTGGCTGAGGAGGTGGGAGCAATGAGAGAAGGTACCTTTGGGGGAACTACTGCCCCTGCCCTCGGAAGGAAGCCCCAGTTCATGGGAACTTGATCTGGCCCCCTACCTTGTTCCTCCCACCCTCACTCCCCCACCGTGCTTAGATCCCCCACTCCTGGACCAGTCCATGCCCTGCAACTCCTTCTTTTCTGGTGACTGAACTTCTAGTTTGACCCTGAGAACAAGATATGAATTTTTGTAGGGCTTCCAATCCCATTCACTGTTGCGACTCCTCATTTAGAAACTGCTGTAGTAGGGCAAGAAGACCAGAGTTGTCATTCTGTGCTGTCAGATTTCCCCTTGCAGTTGCAGTCCTTCTGTTTCTAGATAACTGAACACATTTTTGTTACTGCTAAAAACATCCTCAGTCCTGTTGCTCTTCTGGCAGATGATAGATTTGCAGATAACACTGGCTGAGGGAGCAGATATTCCAGTTGTTGCTGAACTTTGTAGTTTACATATTCTAACTTTTAACATTTGGTTGCATCCTCTTAGCCTATGCTTATCTAAACCCAATTGCCTACCTGTTCTATTTAGATCCTCACAGGCTTTTAGTAAACCTTACAGTTGCTTTAGTTTTACTTATAAGATCTAAAGTAAAAAACTGAATCTCTCCTGGTTTTTTATGTATAAACTGTACAGCATCATCTAGAACACTTATAGTGGGATCACACTTCCTATAATTTAGGAGAATTGTTATCTTTTTGAATCCATAATTGTTTGGAAAAATCACAAATATTCAGTATTTCAGAATATGTGCTTTTCCATGATTTTGGCATTAATATTAAAAAAACGTCTTGGTACACAGTTTTAGTATGCATTTGTAACTTTAAATTCTAAGTTTTTTTTGGGTTTTGTTTTCTTAACAGGTAACTAACCTGGGTAGACCACTTAAAACATTTGGTACAGCTTCTTTGGACATCCAGTGGCCTAAAGAAATCGATAATGGCAAATGGCTGCTTTATTTGATGAAAGTAGAATCCAAAGAGTTGGGAATAATCCCTTGTGAACCTCGGAATGAAATAAACTATTTGCAACTCAGAGTAAGTGCATTTTCACCTATTAAAAGCAAGTTAATCTACTGCTGAAGAACCTGGGAGAATGCAGTAGTGGGATGTTGGCACACTTTTACGCATGGTCCAACATGTCCCGATTAGAAAGCATCAGAGCAAACTTGATTAATTGAGTCTGCTGGAGTCTTCTAATCAGAACTTTCCAGCATGCTGCAACATCTTGTGTATTCAGTGTCCCTGCATTTCAAAATGGTGGTGGGGGAGCTTTAGCTAAAGCTTGTCAAACAAGCTTTAGTTAATCCCCCCCCCCCCCACTGACATTTTGAAATGCAGGATGCTGAATACATTTGATGCTGCGGGCGTCTCAATTACAGCGGCTCTCAAGAGCCACTCTAATTAAAATGCACCTTTGTCTCCCTGTCTTCTCCCCCTGCCCCCACCCCCCCAAGCATGCATATAGGTGCCTTTGGTGCTTATCTTGGAATACATTCGGTATTGCTAATAGCTTAGAAAGTGTATCAGAATTCCACAGTACCAGATCTCTCTGTTCTGGCTCCTTCATTTTGTATTTACAACAAAACGCATTTTAAAACTTTTTAATTTTAAGAATACAGTTCTTTTCTTATGGGGAAAATTTTGTGCCAAAAGGATAAAGGAGAACAGGACAACTATTATTTATATATGTTTAAACATTTTAGTTTTAAAGCCCGTCTCATTTCTTTTGGCCCCTTTTCCTTGTTTCTTGCGGAAAATCTTTTGGCATTTGCCAGCGTCCACTTTAAAAATCTTTCTTGCCTTTTAGTTTTTCAGCATAAGGGCCCAACCCTTGCAGCCGTTTGTCCAGAGTAGCCCTTTGAAGCAGATATAACATTGGGATCCAAATTAGTTTTTACAAGACTAAGTTTCTGCTTAGCTAGAGGACTACAAAGTGCTGCTTAGGAGACAGCTAATATAATGAGGAAACCATACTCTGCCACATGCTTTCATCTTTTCTGAAACCAAGCTCCAACTAAAACTGTCCACCTGCTTTTCAAACTTGACTAACTGTTGTGGCCAAGATGTAGGCAAAGCCAGTGAAAGGAGCCAGTAAGAGCCACTTGCCTTTCAACTACAATACTTTGTTCATCAGTGGCTGAGAAGAGTCTAGTTTGTGCTCCTCTTTTACTTCAGAGTGCATAGGAGAGAAATTGGGGTGAGAGGATGGATGGTTTTGATTACGCACGCAGTACTCATGTTCTGAATGGCTAGACATGCTTATTGACCTTACTAGATGCTGTCTACATATAAATTAGAAAAAAGCCAAAGATATATGCGTTCGTTTAATCTGTTTTGAGTTAAGTAAACTTCAGACGTACAGGTGATTTTTTTTTTTTAAAGGTGCATGGAATTTATTTAATCGGGAAGTGTTTTTTTCCTTTTTTATTTCTAGACTTTACTTAACCCACAGCAGACTTTAAAAAACTTTACAGATTATGATGAGAGATGATAAATCTAGCTCCTGCTGTGATGTTAGCGTACTCAGTGTCAGTGGATATTACCTGAAGAGCAAGCGGTTGATAATAATAAATGTCACTGAATCCTGCAAGTGCTTTGCATGCAGTTGCTGTTGGAGGATGTGGGAGTTTTTGGTATGCAAGAGATTGCAAGAACTAGCCTATATCTTATCTTCCCAAAGAGTATGGATTTAACAGACTTATCTCTACTGATGCTTGCTAGTAATCAAATTAAAAGTGGTGCTATTAATAGCCCATATTCTGAATGCCTTAAAAATGAAATGGTCAGGTAAAACATTTGCCTCCTTCAGGTTACAGAACATACATTACTGATTAAATTCCAGTAACTGCTGTGGTACCAACACTCCTCGCTAGTAGCATGGGAAGTGGCTAGAAAAGCTGCCCGTGATACAGGTGCTCAACGAATCATGGTAGTCAGGTGACACAAACATACATATACTTGATGTGATGACCAGCACTAAGCTCTAGTGTCACTGCTGTACTTTCCCTTCCCTGTTAATTTTACGGAGTCAGGTTTAAGATATCAGTTGAATGGAAAAAAGGTTTACATTAGAGGAAAATTATTTTAAAACTTGCTTGTATTATTCTTACCCTGCTTTTAGAAATTGTTTACTTGCTGTAGTACCATGATGAAGTCCAAAGAAAACCTGCTTTGTTTTACTGGATTTGTATTTACAATATGAAAACAATAATATTATGGGAAATTACAGTAGCTGCTAAATGAGCTACACTTTTTTTTTTAGATGGATCTGTTTAAGAGGCCAAAATTGCCGCTGTTTATATTTGGAATTTAATCTGGATCTTCAAGTATTGGGTATTTAAATAATCTGTTGTATTCTGATTAGTCCAATTAAGTTACTTTACTCTCTATATTTCTCTCTTTGTTTGTAAAGGAATCCCATAACTCAAGGAGAAAACGTGAGATTGCAGAGAAGCAGATTAATGATGGCAAGAAGTTTTCTTTGTTTCCAGAAAGAAAATACAAAACTCTGGTAAGCATTTCCCTATCAGAATATCAGTTATGCTGTAGTCTCCATCCCCTACTTTTGCCCCTCCAGTTTCCTTTCTCAGTTTAGCTGGATGAAGGAAGGTGCGTTTACAACATTTTTTTTTTAGTTTGTTTTGTTTTATTGCTGTGTTTCTGCTGGTCTGTGGTTAACTATTTATTTATTTTTTCCCAGTGTTCTTTTAAAGTTATGATTAGTTTGTTGGATTAGTTTCTAAACAACCATAGAAGACCACTTTTATGTAGGCAATTAGCTTTTAGAATTTGACTTTAAAGGGCAGCAAAATAACAAACAAGACCAAAAATAAAGAATTTGTGTGCAAAATGATGCACACATTTTTAACAATATTAGAACAGAGCCTAGCACCCTGAGCCAGGTCTCTCTGAAATTTGGTGTTTCCTGTTGATTTATAGTGGGAACAGATTTGAGTCTTCTAAAGGGAGCCCTGGCCTTTACTTTAAGATGCACACTTGTCTGATCCATTCCTTTAAACAGTTTAAGTACTGGCCTACAACTTAAATGTTACATTTTCAGTCAAATATGACTTTTGAATTAACGTTATAAATTTAAATTATAGGACTGTAAGGGGAGTGCACGCTGTGTGAACATAAAGTGTCCATTACAAGGCTTGGACAGCAAGGCATTGGTCGTACTGCGTTCAAGACTGTGGAATAGTACTTTTCTAGAGGTATGTTCTGTTACTGTCTGTTCTTGAGGCATTTTCATTTTCCCCTCACATGCCTTGTAATGTATGCACGCTTTATTTTGAAACAGGAATATTCCAAGCTGAACTACCTCGACATTGTTGTTAGGGCTACAATCAGTATTCCTGCTGCAGCAGAAAATGTTAAGCTCACAAATGAGACTGCTCAGGTGAGTTTTTTCAAAACTACTTTAACACGGATCCTCCATTTTATCAGTACACATCTAACACATGCTGCAACAGGGAATGTTTTAATTCAGAAACATCGAAAATGGTATTGGATCCATGAAACCTCTGTCTTCCTGTGTGAGACATCCAGTACAGTTGAAGAACAGATGCATACTCTTTTCTTACTTTTACCTAAGCTCAGTCAGTAATACTGCCTTCCAATTGCAGGCAGGCATGGGGCTAGCTCTGCAAGAGGCTGACCTGTGTCTTCTGTTGTAAAACCAATGTTGCTGTTGAGCTGCAAGACGCAGAGCAGTCTGCTACAGGGAGAATATGCATATCAGCATTGTTTCCCATTTGTAATATTTCTCCAAACTAAGTCACCCAGTGGAAATGAATCCAGTAGTATGTTTGCCGATTGGTAGGAGTGAGGAGACTCCAGGCCAGTTATTTGGCTTAGATTTTGCTCTTACTCTCTTCTTCCAAATGAGCAGAAATAGTCTAGGTTAGGAAGGTTGTTATATTGTGGTGGTTCCTTGGAGAACCATTTAAGTTTTGGTTCCCATTAATCTACATGATGTTTGAGTGCATAATAACATAATAATCCAAGTTCTGAATTAAGTAGGTATATTGTTGTACAACACCCCTACTCTACCAAACCCAAACTAATGATTGGAGGCTTGGAATTGTTGAGAACCTTCAGTTCATCCCTTTAGATTTCTCTCTTTTTTTTTTTTTCCTGTGACCTTTGGTACAGAACTTGTACCACCTGAAAAAATCATGCTCTCATGGACTGTAGGTCTCTCACACTTCAATCAATCAGCTTGGAAACTTTACTGACACAATAAAATATCAAGTCTGCCCTGGAGTCCCCAAGTCTGAGTAGAATCAGATTCTTGTCTTTAAATTTGGGTGTTAAAGACATTAGCAACCATTTAGCAACTGAAGAGGAGAAAACATCTTTAGAACATAGACTTGTCTGTATGCACAACTTGAAGGTCTGAAGAACTGCTGTGAAGATTAGTTTGGGATTAGAGTTAAGTACTTCTGAAATTTACTTTCTATCCTCTTCACTCCTACAATCTTTCCCTCTCCCTTAGGTACGTGTTACTGTCTTCCCTGCAAAGACAGTAGCACACTATACAGGAGTGCCTTGGTGGATCATTTTAGTAGCTATTCTTGCTGGAATGCTGATGCTTGCACTGTTGGTGTTTTTGCTATGGAAGGTGAGTTATTTTAATAATCCACCTATTTTTCAGTTGCATATGAACAAATAAGGTAGCAAATTACTTAAGCATCGTTTTGCTAATTAAGTTATAAAAAAGAACAACATAATCATACATCTTTACTGAAAGTGGAATAATCTCATGAATATGTATTTTCTCTCATTTTACACAATAATCCATTAAATCATTTACTTTGCTTTGTTGTTTTTAAAAAAAATCAAATTTCAGGTTCTAAATTCTGCAACACTTTGTGGGGGGGGGGGCAGACAATGGAGGCAACACTGGGAGGGGTGGCTATGGGGAATTTTGGGATGGCTGTAGCCCACCTTGTAGCCACCCCTCCCAGTGCTGCTGCCACCTGTCCCAAGCACAGCCCCAGCCCAACACCCCTACTGGGAAGAGGCTGGCAGAGCCCCTGGCCTTGCGCCTACAGTCCATCTGCACCCCGTGCACAAATCTGGGGGGCACATGGCCCCCATGCCTCCCCTGGGGGTGTGCACAGTGGCAGGTAGCCACCCCCTCCCCACTGTAGACGAGCTGCCCGTGGCTCCATCCAGCTCTTAGGGTCGTATTCACTGCCCTGGCTGGGCAGTGCCTGCCCCACTCCCTCCCTCGCTGTGCAGACCTCGATCTGCCCTGCTTCACCTTACGCCTCTTCCCCCGCCACATGCTTACCAGCAGGATGCTGCTCTCCCAGCTGCTGGGCTACATTCCTGTAAATCGGCTATCAGATTGTTATTGGCTGATTATGGCTGGTTAGTAGTTGGCCATCGGTATTGGCCAAGAAAATCTTGTGTACCCCTAGTAAAAATGTATGCATCACAAATTACTAGTACTATTTACACTTGGAACAGTAAGTGTTTCCTGGTAGACAGTATGTGGGTGCATTCTTATAGTCTGAGAATATTCTCAAACAGATGCATGGTGACAAGTAATACCCTAGGAAAAACATATTGTTACTTTGCATAGAAAATGCTGAAGATTATTGAAGATTGGCTACAAACGCTGCATTATCTGAACACCTGTTTTCTCCTTCTAGAATCTTAAATTTAATTTCTGCTCCCAAAATCAAAAAAAATCCCTTTGGTTTAATTATCCTAACTTCTTTAATTACCTGCTTGCTGCTTCCGTGAGTATCCCAGCTGTAGTTCTCAGAGTTCTTCTGGGGGTGGAAATGAACGATTGGCTGTAGAGTTGCCATTATTTATTCCAGTCAGAGATTTAAGTGCAAAAGAACAACTGTCTTATTCCTGACTCTAGCTGGAAGCATTGGGATGCAAGTTAGTTGTTACTATGGAATCAAATTCCTGGATTGGGAGTATCACCTCGGACCTTAGTACTATCTGGTACACTAATACAGAAGTTGTCCTCAGTCCCCTGAAAATACTCTCCTGAAAATAGCTTTTCTGGACAGTGGCTGCTTTCTGCTGACCATAAAGGGGGGGCTGCTTGTTATCAGTTCCTTTTAGACTGTCCTCCAGATTTTGCTGATTTTGCTTCTTTATGGCAAGTACATAATCTACTGTTGTAAAGGAAAAGAACAAATAATTGACAAAGTTTATGAATTATGGTTTAATAACCTACTTGAGGTGCTACTGAGTTACGGGATTTGAGTAAGCAGTATTAGTCCACTGTTGTGTGGCTTGTTTGGTTTTTTTTAAACATAGAAATGAGACTGAAACAAATCTAGAGAAACCTAGACTTCTCTCCTAATTGGAATTAAGCATGCCTCTGTCATGCAGACAAAGGCATTTTCAGCTGTATATGAAGGGCAGTGGAGTTCTGAAGAAAGCAGATGAATCTCGAGTAATAGTAAAGCATTTTCAATTATCTTATGTGAGCTACTGCAACCCATTTATGCGTTGTAAGGGTGCATTACAAATATTTGTGAAATCCCGTTTTAGAGAATAGCATTTGTTTTAGATAATGTTAAAAAAAAAAAAAAAGCCATTGCTGGATCTCGGGATATTGTAGCATTCAGCAAATCCTTTCTGACCTACAAATATCATAATTTTTTACTTTTCATAGAAGAAAATGATATCCTAGGACATCTTGAAATACTTTCTACTCGCCCATGTTACGTTCTCAGTTGCTGTTTTGCATATGTAAAAGGAATGGAAAGGTGTCATGACAGGGAGGTGTCTTCATTTTTTTAATATATAAAATAGTACAAAAAGGTTGACTCTCTTTCTTTTTACACCAATCCAGAAAAGTTGACTAAATACCTTGCTTCTTTGTAGTGTGGTTTCTTCAAGAGAAATAAGAAAGATCATTATGATGCCACATATCACAAGGCTGAGATCCATGCTCAGCCATCTGATAAAGAGAGGCTTACTTCTGATGCATAGTATTGATCTACTTCTGTAATTGGTAATTGATTAATATTTTTAAAAAAATTCTTAGCTGTGGGACATGCTCTGGTTTTGGTGGCTAACTGTGGGAAGCTTGCTGTGTATGTTCCATTAACTACTGGATCTTAAAATAGCAATATTTGCTTGCTTACTGTTTATAATGTTCACTTTTTTCAGTGCACGTGAAGAAATATATGCTCTTAGAAATTGCTTTAAATATATTTTATGTATGGGTTTGAGAATATTCTTATTCTCTATAGTAAAATATTTTTATGAGGTAATACTTTTTATTGGGACATAAATATTTTAAATCTTCAAGCTTTACAGATGTCATAGTGTAGAGTTTTAAGATTTAAAATGAGAAATGTCGACATAACTTTGTTTGAAGGCAAAACAAGTGGCTTTATTAACCCCTATTGCATGCTAAAGGATTTATACTGCTTATGATAAAAAGGTGCTTTCTAATACCTGCTTTTAATTGCTGTGGAAACGGATACAATTTTAATATTTTTTGAAGTGTGCCAGTTGCATGACTTATACTTTTAATAATTCTTACTTAAGGTTGGAAGGAATAATTGTATATGGATTGTGTTTCTTAAAATGAGGATATTTTGGGGTCTGATCTGTTAACTTGATGTGCAGTAAAGGGTAGGTAATGTTTTTTTCTAAAATTCTGTGGGTTTAGTTGAGGTCTTAGATCTGAATACTGATCACATTTCCCCCTACTATTTACCATCTTAAAGTGAGGGTTTTTTGGTGTTTTACGATTAAGAGTAATATTACTTACAAACTTGTGTTAAGTGATGTGTTCTGCTGAAGAAACCAATGAAAAAGACCTTTATATTCTGCCCATCACTTCATCCACTCACCCAGCAACAGTCTTGAAAGTCATTCTTGCCATTTACTTCACGGGAACTGATCACAGTGTGCAGAGCTAAGTTGCTGTGCAAACTTTGTGACACCAGGGCTTAAACAGGAAACTTGGTGCATCAAAGCTCTATTTTATCTGGAAAAATTTTGATCAGCAAGAGACAAACATTTTCAGTTGAACAGACCCATGTCTTAATAACTTTGGCCCTGAAATATCCCTCTATTACCCACCCATCCCCCTTCATTCCACCTACGAGCCCTGCATTTTTTTTACTTTTGACTTGGAAACATTTTATTTTTCAGTTCCTTTGCTTGCCAGTCCTTTGAGAGATGCCTCTTCTTTTATCCTAGCTCAAAGGACAATGTTAGACCTGTTTATGGTACTCTGATTGCAGTTGAATCCCATACTGTCCCTTTATGTCACTCTTCTCCAGTGTGGATTCTTCCAGCGCTCTAGGTACGATGACAGCGTCCCCCGCTACCATGCTGTTAGAATTCGGAAAGAAGAGCGTCAGATCAAAGATGGAAAATATAAGGATGATCATGAGAAAAAACAATGGATTACAAAATGGAGTGAAAATGAAAGTTACTCTTAGGGAAAACTTCATCCCACCAAATATATTTTAGTGTCTTCATTAATGAAATACTGATGGCTCAAGACCTACATACAATATGGACCTGTATTTTGATTGTAGATATCGTTACTTATTCTGAGGATTTTGTTTTGCACAACTAAAATGTTAAGACTGCTTGAACTGATTTATCTGCATTATTTAAAATTGCCTCTATGACTAACTCACATTTTATAAACAGCATATTGAACTGACTCTTCTATGAAATATGCACATCAGTGTACAATAAGGACTTCAGCATACTTGAAGTCAGTGAGTGTGCAAGGAATGCAGGATCAGATGCAAAATATCACCTCCTTCCCCCTCCTTATTGTGTGTAGCCTGTTATACATCCTGTGGTCTTTAAACACGTTTTCAAGTAGAATCTTAGGTGTGTAGCTACAGCAGTTGGGGCTTAACCTAAAGTGTAGTCTGAAGATGGACGTGCAAATGTCATGTTGCTATAATTTTTCTAATTACTGGTGGCATGTGTAGATGAAACGGGGGCCCTAAATTGAAGCAGTGAGTTCTAAAAAACACCGCTTCAATTTAGGGATGATTAAGCCCATGTGTCATGCAAACATCTTTGCTGCCTCTCCTGTGGGGAGGGGAGGGCAAGCTGCCAGTGGGTGGAGCAATCCCTGGGCAGCAGAGAGGGGGTAGTGCTTCCCTCCACGGCTGTCATCGTTGTGTCCCCCCCGCAGCACCCGTCTGCAGGCACCCAGCTTGGGCGGTCCCGGGGGGCACTGCAGCCACAGAGGGAAGCACCTGGCCCCTGTGCAGCTGAGGCAAGTAGGCAGGCTCGGGGGGGAGGGGAATGATCAGGCTTACCACTTTTCTTGGGCAGAGCCTACTTTCTCAGGCTGCTGCCAGGCTACTTGCAGTGCTTCTTGCAAAGCTGTGGACCTGCACAGAGCCCAGTGGTTCACTCCACGACTGTAGGGGCAGCAAACTAAAACTTCTTGAAGGAGTTTTAGTTTCCTGTGCCCTGAGTTTTATTTAAGGTGCATTATGCTGCCAAATTTCCTACAGCAGCTGGAATTAATGCGCAATACACCACTGAGGCGTGCAAACACTGACACCATTAAAGCAGTGCAAAAGCATTTAGCCTGCTTTAAAGTGTTGTCTACACATTTTGTCTACACATGGCCAGTTGTGAGAACCTTGCTTGCACCAAATTACTAAACACAGGTTTTAAAAAAAGAGGCTTGAATACTAGATGTGTTTTGTATATATTTTAGTCATTCTTTTATTTATTGTTGTTTAAAAACCCTTTATCTGACTAACCCATAGGCCAAAGACTACTTAATCAAACCTCCAAATTGCTATAGTTTTTTTTTAGACTTAGAGCTTTTTAGGGATCTTTTAAAAAGTGGTAAAAGTGCCAATGCTTTAAGTGTAAATTTCAAATCACTGATACATTTTTTAAATGTAAACATTTATTCCACCAATTTGTGTGGGTCTCTTTTTCCTTATATATTTGTTTATGCAGTAGGAATTAGCATGGTCCTGTAAAATAATCAGTGTAATAATTCAGAATAAAGTTTTATATGGGTTTTTTTCTATACAGTTTTTATACTTAATGCAAAAAGTGACAGGTGCTCTTGGAAATAATTTTGCAGCTCCATAAGGATTGCATATTTGGAGAAAGGTGTCTACTACTGCAAATACTATATGGCACTTGAAAGAGAGTAAGCTCCTAATTTTCCTTAGCTGTGGATCTGCACTGATCCACATTGAAACTACTGACTTAAGAATACTGTTAAAATAGTCCTGTTCAGTATCCTGATTTATAACAACATAAATGATAGCTATTTAAAGAGATTTTTGAGTTTTTTACCTATGTTCTAAAATACTGGTACTATTTAAATAGGAATCAAGATCTAGCTCTCAGCTGTTTGTTCTTTATGACAAATACTGACAGGTATCAGTGTGCTGACTTTTTTTCCCCACTTTGGGTAATGATGAGACCTATGCAAAAGTTAATTAACTTTTTTTCCAGGGCCAAAGCCTTCTAAGCTGTACCTCCTCCTAACAGGCCATTAGCTCTAATAGGAGTAGGGGTGACTGTAAGCTAGATGCGATCACTAACTGTTGTGTGGTGTGTTTGATATCTTCAGACAGTTCTACAGCCCTTACTCTTAAGTGTTATTTTTAGAAACTGCATTGATTTGTAGACTGAGAAGTCTTAAATGTACAACTTTCCTCTTTAGCCCTCTCTTGCATACGACATTTCCCCAGATAAAATATGCACCTTGTTTTGGGAAGGCAGAGTGAAGAAACGACTCTTCCAAAGTAACAGCTGAATGAGGCTGCATGGACCAGGGACAGTCTGTTCTTTAACACCACTCACTCACCTTGCAAGCCTGACAGTTCAAGTTTTAACCCTGTCACAGCCGCTAATGGGGTTTGCAAGGAAAGAGTGAATGAACTGTGAAGCAGACTTGGCCTCTCTTCCACATGGCTGGGAAGGAAGGGCAGCACAGCCCATGGCCATTGTAGCATCTCCATTCCAGGAGGGAAATCCAGCTTCTTTACTTAAAACATACATCTCAGTTGGGGATGGCTAAGTTTTTTTGGGAGAAGGGATGCTATACAAGTAAGAAAGACACATTTTGTGGCCCTGATCCTGCAAACACTCATGTGTTAACATTTTGGAACTGGGACCTTTTAAATCCATATCCCTAAAGTTAGGGCTATGACAATATTTTTAAATCCCCATTCTTTTGCTGACTGGGCCATACACCTAAGCAACTGGATTTGTATCCAAAAATGTCAGTTTCTCAACAGTTGATTCTGTTTCTAGTCCTTCCAGTTATGAAGGATAGGGTTGTGAATGTGATATCCTCATACTAGAGTAAAACAAACATGAATGTTGTGATTGTGTTTAATGTAAGGCTGTCAAAAACATCATCTCAAGTCATGTCACTGGTTTACTTCCATCTTGTAAACACATTTTTATATGAACTAAAAATGTTAAATCATTCCATAATTGGATGTTACCTGTGGATATTTGTATACAAGTGTGAACATTTTTAAAATAAATGTTTATTGCCTTGGTAGTACTGATATATTTCTTACAGTATAATTACAGTTAAATAATGATTAGTAGCCAAGCTTCTATAGCTTTCAGTTCTCACTAGTATCTCTTATAACATTAAGCTAGCCCACTCTTAAGGTACATTTTGTTCCGACCCATGCCAGCCACTGGAAAGTAGGTATTTCAGATCACAGAACTACAAGTGGCCTCCTTGGCCAATAACTCCAGTCCCCTGTGTTTGCAGGTAGCCATTTACCCAAATATACCTAAAAACGGTTTACTCCATATCCTTGCACATTACAACTACAAGGCCTAACGATCAGAAAATGAGCACCGCAACATTTGCAGGTAAAGTAGCAGGGAGGACAAAGATGCTGGCCATACCCTAGCACTGCAGTGGCAGAAAACTAACTGATTAATATGTTCAGAGGATTGTAGGAAGAGAACAGCAACCCCCCCATGCCCAATCTGACTGGTAGGCAGAAGAGTTCCTTCCAGTTTGGCCTGGAATGGAAAAGCAAGACCATTGAAATAAGGAACCTATGAAGTACCAGCTTCTCAGCCTTAACTGTGATCACTGTCCAAATGCTTCTGATGAAAGGAAAAAGCGTGAAACAAAATAAAGCAACCCCAGAAGCTAATAAAGTATTCATGGCAGGGAAGAAGAAAGCTGAATGAGAAGGAAAACTAGCCCTTTCAGATCCTGAACCATGGGATTGCTACTACAAGCAACCTCTATACCTCAACATGGGGATTGCCCTTACTCATACATTCTGATTCTTGAACCAAGGGCTTGCTATCCTATCGTACTGTTCCGTCCATAACTTACAGAGCTTGATCTAAAGGCAGTTACAGTTCTTTACACCAACTGCTTATCCCAGAAGGGCATTCCACATTTTTCTTTAGCAGTTTATTCATAGCACCTTGCAAAGCAGGCAGTTGCCAATGAAAGCTCATGCACCTCTGTACTAATTAGTCTCTAAGATGCCAACCTGTCCTACTCTCTACCTGACTTTAGACTAACATGGCTAATAACCTTTGGCCTCCTCTGATTGAAATAATCTTCTAATTTTCCATGTAAGTTGTTCAAAATCAAGCTGTATCAATTTGTTCTGTGGTCTTCTCCTATGTCAACATTCACCTTTTGAACATATTCCTGAAAAGTAACCATAGCTCCTCTCAATCTTTGTTTTGCTAAGTTAAACGGGCCAAGCTCCTTCAATTGTGTTTCACAAGATAGTGTCTGCATTCCCTTAATATACCCCTTTTTTGTACTTCTTCCACTTCGACGTCCATCTTTTTTTCCCCTTTTTCTATTTTTTTTGGACATTGTACAGTTCTGGTTGCCCTAGTATTTCTAAATAGGGTCTTACCAATGCCTTGTACATAAGTTCCTAGTACATTTTTGCCTCTCTTATGACCTGCTACTATACTTCTCTAGCCCTGTGCTGAGAACCATGGAAGGCCTCTTGGAAGAACACCACCAGGCAGCAATTTTGCTCCCTTCTCTTTCAAACATCCAATCCCCAAAAGACTTCTAATACCCTCTTTTGTCTTGCCTAAGATGTTCTAGAACTTCAGTAGCTTTTTTTCAAAGTTGCAGCACATTTAGCAGCTCACAATTGTCCTATGCCTGATCAAAAAAGCCAGGACTTGCTGTTCCTCAGTTGATTCCAATTTATAAGCTTCCCTTCCCCCAAGACCATCTTACAGCTGGATGTTCTTGTTAAGTGGTCCCTAAACCATACTTCACATTTGCATGTTATACTGTTATATATAACAATAAAGCTTTAATACCTTAGTTTTATTCTGTTTAGGTAATACTTGATGTCATCCATAAATTTCATGAGGATACATCTAGTTTCAGTACCAAGACTTCTAATAAAAGTGTTTAGGTCCTCAAACTGAGCCATGAAAAAGTCCACTGGTAATTGCTATTCAGTTTGACAACTTACTTTTCTATGTAACCCAATATATTTTTCCTTTGTGCTAACTACTTATCCACAGTTGTTTGTATTAGTCCCCATCTTTTCAAGTTTGGCCAATAATTTCCCCATGAGGCATGGTATCAAAAGCTATGCTTAAATCTGAATTCACTGCACTGTCCAAGTAGACAGTTATCTGGTCACACAAGATATGTAATTAATCTGACATTCTTCCTTGGATAATACCATGTTGTCTAGGTCTAATTTTCTGTTCACTTCTATCTCCTTTGACTATTCCTTCAATATCTATCCTAAGACCTACTGAAGTCAGGCTAACTGGCCTGTAACTGCCTCCTTTTTCC